CTTGGTGAAATCTGTCCTTTGTCCAAAAGATCACAGTTGTGTATCTAAAAAAGCCTGACTACATATTTCCTTATTATGCATTCATATAAAAACATCCTCATATTTTTAGTCAGCCAATCAACTTTAGGTGCTTATACAATTTCATTTTGTACAGAAGAGACACTGCGTTTATCAGCTATTGTCCAACATAGTGGCAAACATATTTATCATTAACAAAAGTTACATTTTCTTATCATTGATCAAACTAAGTTTTAATTCTTTCCATCGCAAGAATATCCACTTTAAGATACACACTTAAATATCTGAATTTGAATTTTGTATTTAAGACAGTGAAAGAAGCTTCCCCTTAATGTGTCATGTAAGATTGTTAAATTAACAATGAAGCTAGACTGTCAGAGCTAACAGACAAGTCTTGTTGTTCGCTGTTTGCTTGGGGATTGTGGACTGTGTTTTATTGTTTCTATGATTGGCAGTAAAAGCCTTATTTCACAGCTTGCAGCAGGGGGCTATTGGATAAAGTGTGATGGTGTTCTGCAAGCTATAGTCAAAAACTGTCCATCAGAAGCCCACATCGCCTACTTAGAGAAAGGACTTTCTTACTGATCCTTCCAAATGTCGTTTCATGCTGTCCTTGATTGGCACAGCCTGGCAGGGAGGATTGATGAATCTGTCACCAGCTGGTTAATTGTGTTGCTGGTCTCAGTCTGACATCAGCTCTTTGACTCTTAAGTGGCTCAATACAAAACAAATTAGGAGATTGTAGTCATATTTCTCATTCTATATGCTCTGACTTTGTTGAATGCAGTCCATAAATCATATTGACTGACATCCCGCTGAATGATGAAAGCTGCTTTTGAGACATCGAGCGTAGGCCGAGAAAGCAGCTACCACCAAGGTGCCATGGAAGGATGCATATGGCTGACCCTTTGGGAATTTCCTAAGGGCCAAATGTTTCTTTACAGCAATTGTTCCTAGGAGAAAAGCTTTGGGGCAGTACAGAAAAGATTTAACATGTCAGCAGATTCTCTTTTACAAGCGGCTTTGAAATATAAGACGTTTGTCCGAGGATTTTCTCTTTTTACCAATGTGGTCTTTAGCAGATGTGAAGAAGAGGGGAAATTCTAGGTGTTATATCTTGCAGCAGGTGTTATTTTTATGTGACAAAAGCCTTATTTCTTGTGCTTTGCAAAGGTAAAATAAAATGTAGAGATACAGTAGTTGAAACTGACAAATAAATGCAAGGATGTTAGAAGGGCTGAGATAGTAATAGCCATTATAAAATGTACTTTCTGTTGAGGAAACATCACCAATAAATTTAGTATTTATTATTACAAATGATTTGGGTGCAACTTAAAAATAATTCAAAAAGCAATATTACCTTAATGGATTCATACATGCGTTATATACAATACGTTTATTTTTTGGTTCTTTCAAACATAAAAAGTGCTTTGATAAGCCTGAGCAATAAAGAATGGAGAACTAAATTGTTCAACGTGAATTTGGATTAATAGCTTTCATAAATAACTGTATTTAACAGTTATATTTTTCAACTTGGAAGAGTTATATTTTTTAAAAAACGTTAAGTTAAATACGTTAGTGTAATTTTATATGTATATTCACATGTACACAGACCCACACAATGATTCTAATATATTATGTAGCCTTCTAGCTTATGGTTAAATTTTAGGGCTTGCTTTTTTATTTTTGCCAGGATAAAAACCTAGTTATCTCAAATAGAGATAATACAAACTTTCCCCCCTTGTGCATGTGTTTTTTTAATGCCATGACAGCAATAAGCCTGTAGTCGGAGTGCATAGTTGAAAGCAATTCTGTTGCTTCTTTGAATAGGGTGTTAGCATTTGTCTATCATCATAAAACATGCACTTGATGTACATTTATGAAACTCGACTTTGAAAAAAGCTTTGTAGCTTCTCTTGTATCATGCATTGTAACCATTACCTCGTGCTCCACGATCTGAAAGCTCTGAATGCCTATGTTGGAAGACAAACAGGAAACGGAATATAATACATCAATATATAGTAATAAAATGTTAAGTAGATTTAATTGGTTACTAGTTTGGGGATGGGCAATATTTTATTCTTTATATATGTTACATGATATATGTTTTAAATCTAAGCCAGTTTGGTTTAGTGGTTAAGGCAACCGGCTAGAAAGCAGGAGATGGTGAGTTCAAGTCTCGCCTTAACCATGAAAGCCAGCTGGGTGACTTTAGGTCAGTTCACACTCTGTCAGCCCAATTCACCTCAAAGGGTTGTTGTTGTGGGAAAAATAGGAGGAGGAAGGCATGTTGGATGTGTTCACTGCCTTGAGTTATTTCTGAAAATAATAAAGGCAGGATACAGGTAAATAAAATACTACAAAGGCATCAAAGCCAATCTGTTACATAAAACATGGGACTAATCTCACAGAGCCCTGCATTACATCAAAAGGTGCAGTTGTTTTATTAAATCAAAATAAGACTTCCAATTTGTATCTTAAATCTGTTACCTCATAACTCAGTTAAGCCTATTGATTCTTAATCTTTCCTTCTATCCCTCCCCTTCAAGGCTCTGTTTTCATTCATATTGATACCGCTCCATTTGGGGAAAAGAACTGCATGTCTGCTAGTGTAATTATGAGTGACTTTGGCAGCTGTTTAAGCATGCGAATTGTGTATTCACTTTTTATATGTTTGGTTGATAGTTGGCTTTTGGTAGTTGGCTTGTTTCAGTCACTGTATAGTTGTAGAAAATATTTCAATTTTTGAATGACCATCAAAAAGACACCTTAGAAGCAGCCCGTAGATCTTGCTTGAAGATTTATAGTAGGCACATGCTTCAAACATGATTTGGAAGAAGTACTTTGGAACTTGCGTGACCACAACACTGCTGGCGCTCATTAAAATAACCCAACTTTCTTGAAGCTTTGACAGGAGTCTGAATAACAAAATGACACTCATTAAACTCTAAGCAGCTGTATGTACTGGTAGCCTGAAAAAGGCTAGACTGTATTAATGAAGAGCAGAGAGACAAAATGTCTGCACATTTTTTCAAATAATTTTTGAAGTGTAATACAGCCGTTACGGATTACTACATATATTTCCCACAAATAAATACCAAGGAGAAAAATAGGTAGAATTTCCCAAGGCTATCCTTTTAATATTTTGTTATAGTTGGGAACAAATAAATGCTAAATTGGTTTGAAAATGGTGATTCACTTTAGTATATTGTTTTCAAGTGAGACCACTTGCTTAATCTCTTATGTATACAAGCCATAATGAGGCTCCGGGTTTGCCATTATCCCTTCTCATTTATGGAAATTCTTCTGTTTCTAATGGGTTCTTTCAACAATTCTCTTGCCACGAAAACACTTATTTTAAAAGGGCAGAATAATTGTGAAATATCTTTTATCACAGCATTTACATGTAGTCCTCGACAACCAACTGGACACTTGGCAACCAAGTTATGAAGGGCACTTTTCAACCTTTATGAACAATTACAATGTCCCGTGGTCACATTGCAAATGTTGACATTTTTTTGCTGGTTTCTAGCATATATTTTTGGTTTCTGGCAAAAACTCCCATTGGATAAAACAATTTTGTTTAATGACCATTGGTGTTCTCTCAACAATTGTGGTGTTCGCTTAACGACCACCACAAAGAAGGTTGTAAGATCAGGGATGTTTGTATGGTGACCCACTTAACAACCACCGTGACATGACCATAATTGCAGGCTCAGTCATGGTCATACACCAAGGACTACTTACTCTATAGTATAAAGTATTATATCCAGAAACACCCTTGGACTTATTCTTTTCTAAATTATTCCATCCCACCCCCACTTGAAGCTTCATATCACAAGATAAAATAAATAGATTAGTCATGCTTCATTTCTGGGGATTACATGGGCTACTCATGTGGCTTTCTCTGCAGCGGTACGAAAGTGATTTTCTCAACTTCCCAGTCTAGTGTATAGCCCTGGTATTTTCGATGATTTGTTATCCAACTAATATGTTTGGCTCTTCTTACCTTTTGAGATCAACTAGTGTCATCTCCATGGATTAACCTGATATGGTATTCATTCTGAACTAAATTCAAAAACACAATCTAAATCCATATGCAAATATCCTATACTGCTTATTCCCAAATTGTGTAAAAGATTGTAATGCAATTTACTATTAAACAAACATGCACAAGATTTCACTGTGGAAGGCTACAGAACTTAAATTTATGGATTAGTTATATGGCCAGATGACTGATAAGCCTATTATGGTTGTTGTAAAGAAAAGGCTTTTCTGTAATCTTGAAATGAGAAGGAACCTAAGTTATTTAGCAAAGGGCAATGTTTGCTAATAGTTGATGCACTATTTCTTTGGCTTAAATCTGAATTGGTCAGACTAAACATAAATTCACTAAAATGAGTGGAACTTCCTTCCTTGAAAATACACACCCACTCAAAAATTGTGTTAACTCCCAGCAACTAGTTCTATACTATTTTGTTAGCTACCAACCAATGGGACTTAAACTGTTAATATGAAATGTCTTTGAACAGTTATGTATGTCTTGAACAATGGAGAGCTTCATGCAAGTTGGAATTTTTTTAACATTTAGAATCCTCCCACTTACACAGAAAAATTCTTGGATAGGCAGGAAAGCAACTGAGGGCTTTGGTAAAAAAATTATATAACTTCCAGGGACATTTTTAGTAATATACTGTAAGTATCAAGACCAGGGTTTGTTTGTTTTTTTGCCCCCTAATCTGTTCACAAGAATAAAGACCAGCAACAAAAAAAATAATATCTTACCCATTTTTGTCTATTTGAAAATTCTTGGATGTTGGCTCACGCATCCAAGGGAAACTATTATTGTGAAACAAAGCCAAACATTCCTTATCTGTTTGTTTTGAGTTGAATAAATGCTCGGGGAGGTGGGGGGAATTGGGAGATCTTTGTGACAAAAGGTGCCAGTTTATTTCTGTAATGTGTTGCCTTTTCTTTAATAGGGAAAAGTAGCTCAGACCGCTTGTATGTCTGCTTGCCAGCATCTCTCAACCTCCCTGATGCAGATGCTGTTGGATAGCGACTTGAAACAGATCAGCATGGGAGCTATTCAGCAATTTAATTTAGATGTCATACAGTGTGAATGTAAGTATGCAAATTCTGAATAAAAAGCATGCTTTGAATATATAAACTATGGAAGCCAGAAATCCATGAGACCAGCTTATCAGTTATTTTAAGCATTGTGGAATCTGGATATCTTTTTTCTATATTGTGGTTTGTTTTTGGATTGAGAAGAAATAACTACATATCTGTGATGCTGCATTTTGGGTTTTTTTCCTGTGGAGCTTGTAAGATATTATTGGCTCTGATTATTTGCTGCCATTGTTGGGGTTTTCCTAGAATTTTATTTGCTAGCACAGAGGATTCTTCTAAGGATGATTCTGAGAAATTAAGCCACCTGAGAGAGTGACATTAAGTTTGTTATTTAACTGAATTCATTAACATTTTTGTCTTAGTTATGATCCTAACTATTAACAGAATTGGGCATGAGCTGAATGAAAGCTCTTAATTGGTAAAAATATCCTAATATTTGTTCCATACCAAGTGTTTCAGAGGAATATGTTTTATTAAATTGATTTGAGCCAAACTTTCTTTTGTCTCCCTCTACTGGTAACTTGAACATTTATTATAACAAAAGAAAAACGTTGCTTTTGATCATTAGTGTAGTGCATTTAAAGAAATTAAATTATCTAGTTTTGGCTCAAAGTTTATGTAATAACATGTTTGGTCTTTTAGATACTACAAAATCTTTCTAATGTTTCTGTTGCAAAAAAAAAATGGCAAATCCTTTGGAAATTAACTCTTGACAAAAAAATGCTCAGTTGTTTTCATCTTGTTGAATCAGGATGATGGGTTTCAAGAATTCTTCCCAACATAAATATATACCTTCTTAAGCATACTCTAATGGAATTTATGATCTTGATTCATTCACCTCTTTTTTATGTTTTTGGATGCAGAAGATTGATATCCAATTTTACATTCAAAATTTCTTCAGATAGTCAGTCTGACTAGGAGCTGATACATATCTGCACAAGTCATAAATTCAAGGATTGAATTCACCTTCATAACTGTGAATGGTCACTAAATGAGGATTATCTATAATTGCTTAAATTATTTTAATAATTGGTTGTCAGCTTTTTTTCTTTGACATTCTCTTTATATTCCCTTTATGAAACACGAACCTGAGAAGATGTTTATTTCCTAGTCTCCTAGTCTTAGTCCCTTTGTCTAACTCTTCTCTTGCTGCATCTTTTTTCTCCTTATATACATGATTTCCTATTTGATAGATTCCCCCAAAGCTCCAGAAATGACGGACGTAAAAGTAGGCTTTTTAGCTAGCAGACATCATTGAGTACAATAAAGCATTCATTCAATAAAATATGTATATAGTGTATATTTTTTCTTTGAAATGGTCTTGATGTATATATATTTATATAATGGAGAAAATGGTCTAAGTTATCTTACTCTAAAACTAACATGACTTTATTTACAAATTTCCGTTTAGAAAATTTTCCTTGAAGAAAATGTTTCATGTCACCCAATCCCAGTAAACCAGATTTTTTTTTCAGAATTCTGATTTACCATACTGTGTAAATCTGGCTAATTCTTCCTATTAACGAGGAATTCAAAGTAATTAACAATTACTAATTTATAATCCTTGAAATCAATATAAATGAAAATAAGATTTCAAATATATTCTATTTCCTAAGAAATTAAGTCAATGAATTATGTCTACACACACTGTCTTTTGCGTGTGCACACGTGCGCGCGCGCACACACACACACAGAGTAAATAAAAATCATAGACTGTATCAAATCTAGATTCTTCCTGACATTTCTTTCACAAATTCTTACAATTTCTTTTCAGTGTTTGCAAGTTCTGAGCCTGTACCTGGATTCCATGGAGAAACCTTGCAACTAGCATTTATTGACCTCAGACAAGTAAGATGTTGTTATACATTTATTTGGTTTCGAATACTCTGCAATTCCAGTTATTTCAAGTGAATTTAAACTTGTCAAAATTCAGTTCAGAATTGTCTGAACATTGCTATATAATGCTTATTTGTATTTCCCAAGCAAAGCTGTTTTTGTGAAAATGAAATGTTGCGATGTCAAATGAATCTAATTTTGTCAGTTAGTACTATTATTGTTGTTACTTTATCAGTCTTTTAATTTTTATTTGTTCACTTATCATACTTGGTATTCCAACCTTAAAACATAGCAGAAATTAATCCTGCAATATTAAAAAAAAAAAAAGAATTAAACCAATCATTCATATCCTTAAATTGAACTATTTTTAAAAGATGTGGTTATAGTCTTTTTTTAAAAAGCTAACAAATTGATTAGATCCCTTAATCCAATAAGGAATGCATTCCATCTGTCTAGGGTGCTCATAGAAAAAGATCAATTCGGAGATGCCAGCATATGAACCTTGGCAACCATCAACAGACTTAGTAGGCAGGAGCGGGGGCTTATAGAGAGGGATCAAATTGGAATGTCTTGTCTCAGATAGCCTAGATCCAAATGATGCAGGGCTGTACACGTTAATAAATACTACATAGTCATTGCTCTTGGAACAAATTGGCAACCAGGATAATGTTTTTAGTACAAGTATACTATTGTTTCTTTGGGTAGGAACCAATCTGGCTGCTGAGTGTTCTACCATGTTCTAAGCTAGACACAAAGGCAGCCTCTTGTGCCTTTACACAAGACATTATAGAGATAAGAGTTGGCGATTACTAGAAAATGTACCATAGTTCCATACCATTCTGTTTCACTGCATTTAGATGCAGTATTTGCATCTCTCAAAAACTTGCTGGTGATTGTTTATTTTTTCCTCCTATAAAAAACAACTACAATGAAACAACTGGATGATGACCAGTCCAAAGATGGGTGGGGGGAGGGAGGGAGATATATGACAGTACTGCACAACTAGGTTTTGGTTAATGATATCTTAAGATGGAGTGCATAGAGCACCTAAGATTGCATTAGTTCCCTGAACTTGTTCTAATTTTAATATTTTGGATGTGCATGACTTCATTATTTCTGCTTAATATACTAGTTTTGAAATCATATGATAATACCAGGATTCAATTTAATTGTAATTCACTTGGCATACTGAAGCAATAGATAATGCCTCACCAGACAATTGGGACTAATTTGTACTTATTTAACAAGTGTGCGGTTACAAGTTCAGTTTTAAAATATGGATATACTAATTTGGAATGGGGGGACCAAGACGTTTGAGGTTTAGCAGCCCAGAATCTAACAGTGGACTTGCAACTTAAATAAGAAACTTGGTACCCCACTGCTAAAAAATGAAGTAGAGTTGCCAGCAGATTGTCCTTAGTGTTCGGGTCTCTTCTTCACTCAATATAGGATATTGGTCACCAAGTGTCTTAGAACTAGATTAAGGTACAATATGGAGGTAGATGAATTGGAAGCTCTTTGATAGTCCTCATGGTAGGTATGTTGTGTTACTGGGGAAGGTGTTTGCTTACTTCATCTGTTCCTACATTGGTGATTTCTTCTATCTTCCAAATTCTAGGTTCTATATTCTCTGAGCTTTGTAACGTTTTGAAACTTGGGTCTTTTGAATAAATTATTATCACTGTATTCTGGTATGTTTATAAAGTGCTTCATGAAAGGTAACACATAGAATAATACACAATGAACAATTAAAAAAGATGGCATTATTTAGGTTTATGCAATTGTAATATTGAGAGCAGAAAAAGAACTCGAGATTTTCTGGTGATAAAGGAGTATAGAGAAGGAAGTTCTTCATTCTACTAGTTAATTAATTTCTGCAGTTCATTAGTACAAGGTGAGGTGTAGGCTTCTCAACAGCAGAAGTAGCCATTTACTTTACCTTTGGTTTAAAGTTTTTTCTGATCCAGCAAAGTAGTGGATGAAAATTTATGTTCCTGAAATTTTCATGGCCAATTCCATGAACTAATCAAATACCATTTGAATTTTGCAGCAAATGTTATTAGTTACCATAGAGAGAGATTTTGTCATTCTCACCAAAAATGAGATTAAAGCTTTTCTTGGCAATTAATTTGTTATAGAAAATTCCATCATTTTAGATGAGAACTCTCCAATTAGCAAAAGGTTGTATATTAAGACCATAAATTAAATGATCAATACATAAGGTTGAATTCTAATATATTTACACAGTTGTACCTTTTCATGAAATTACTGTTTTAATATATGCTGGCAGACTGCCTTATTTCTATAGGAGAAATAAGGCTATAAGTGCATAATGACTATAAGTGCAAAAAAAAGTAAATTAACTTTAATGTGATTTTTTTAAAAAAATGTATTTGCTCTTAGGGATCAGCATAACAGGAAACATTTTATTACAATATTACCTTTACAAACAGAAATTATATTCGAAAATATTTATTCTAGGATAAGGTTATTCTAGAGCTCTAAAACTGAAACAGGAGGAATACAAACATCTTTGTTCATTTGACCTAGGATATAGGCGGGTGGGATTCAAATTTTTTAACAACCGGTTCTGTGAGCATGGCTTAGTTGGTGGGCGTGGCTTGGTGGCCATGTTATTGGCTGGATGTGGCCAACTCAATATCACTCTCATCGAGGCACGCATCTCCTCGCCTGGCCTCTTATGACTGTGGGGATGCTGCAACAGTCGTAAGTGTGAAAAATGGTCATAAGTCACTTTTTTCAGTGCCATTGTAACTTTGAATGGTCACTCCACACAAGCAAAGTACCAGCAAAGGAGGGGAAAAAAACCCAGAGAAGTTCCTGAGGAAGGATGTCTAGTCCTGCCAAGAATGTAATAAGGGTTAATGGAAAGGCAGTTTCTGTAAGCAACACCAGAATGTTTCCTTCCTGCCTTCCTTACAGGATTAGGCCAGTAATATCTTCTAACAACCGGTTCTCTGAACTGCTTAGAGTGTTAACAACCGGTTCTAGCGAATAGGTGCGAACCTGTAGAATCCCACCTCTGGATGTAAGATAATCCCATCTCATATTAGAAAAATATTGTTTTAATTTTTTTTCTTAACACAGCGAATCAATCAGTTATTTTACAAGCTTTCTTTGCTTTCTTTGTCCCCCCCACCCATATCTCCTAGGCAGTAGACTACAAAATCTGTGTGTTTGTGTGTGTGTGTGTAGGTAGGGAGAGAGACAGACAGAGAGAGAGAAAGAGAGAGAGAGAGAGAGAGAGAGGCAGGCAGGCAGACAAGGAGGGAGGGAGGGAGAAACTGAATGGATAATTTCTCTCTTCACAATGACTTAATAGTGTTATTTCTTGTTCAGTTTCAGGAAGCAATGTTTATTCAATATAAATATATACAGTATAGTATATATTGCAACAATTATTGCAGTCAGTTGGCTACATTCTTCTTTTCTGCTTTTGAATGCAAAAGTTAAGGTAAATTGCCCACCCATTTATTTTATTTTCGGCCTATTTCACAACTTGTGTCAATGATATTTAAGTTATATGAAGGCTTTAACACCTTTCCCCTCTTCTCTATTTATGATTCATTTCTCTCCTAATAGGACAGATGACAGTTCTTTTCAAGAATACTTAGAAAGGCAACAGAGTCATTTCAGAGGATTCTTATAAAGAGGTCAGGCTTCTGTTCTTTAGTTTGAATTTGATACTGTTTCGTGAATTGCAGGATATGAAAGATAAGGAAGTAAGTCCAGTGGTCAGGTTTTACCTGCCCACCCGGACTGTGCCCTGGGGTCAAGCTCCTGATATTTGCTGTTTGGTGTAGAGGAGCTGATGACAGGTAGAGGCTGATACAAAGGGGAAAGCTTGAACCATATCAAAGCTAAAAGGCAAGAGAATTGGGACATTGCAAGAGACTGTAGCTAAAAGATGGATCAGCAGGATTGCCCTCTTTTTAAAAAGTAGCTGACCTGTGAGAGAAAAAAAACTTTAGCGTCCTGCCAATCACATGCTTGCTAATGGAAGCCAGTTATCTCAACAACAGTTTAGCCCCTTGGTATGATTTCATGACACTTTACAAGATTTGGAGGTGAGGGCAATACAGATTGGTAATTTTCACTACAAATACTACAGCACATGTATAAAAGCTTGATAGTTAAAGAAATCCATATAGCGGTTTCAGACATCCTCTTAGAAGTTCCACTACAGGGAAACACACAGAAGAGTATCGTTGCCCAGCCTAACGTAGATGATAATCTATAAAATATTTTGCATCCCTACATAAGGATGGGGTTTTTTTAATTTTAATTTTATTAAAAGTGGCCTTCCATAGTCATTTGGACAGGATAATGTTTTCCGATCGATTTCAAATTATTCAGTATATTTTTAAGGCAAACAAAAGGATTTGCCAATCTAGGGAAAATGAATCCTAACTTCACCTATCTTCTGATAAGAACTACTGTATATTTCTGATAAGAACTACATTTTTCAAGGAAAGGTATATAGCTCAGTAAAAATGTTATTCCAGTGTGGGGCTGCTGTGAAAAAACAAGTGTACTGATGAGGGTTAATAGACAAGAGACTGAAAATAGATAAATTTGGATGACTTAAAAAAAAGAGCAGGAAGAGGAATTCTGAATTACTACTTAACATAAGAGCTCTCTATTGCTTTCAACTTTGTGACTGTCCATCCAGTACTGTTTGGGAGCGGTTTCACAAGTCAGAGAATGCTATAGCATTTATGTAGTGCTTATGGACCTCTCATTAGGATCTGATGTTGCCCTGAATCATACTGGATGCTAAAGCCCTCTCAGTAAACTCTGGTTAAGAATTCTTGATTGTATGCCAGGCAGCATCAATTTCTCCTAAAATGTGTAATGCATTAGAGCAACTCTGTAAAGTCCAGCACTGACTCTTACAGCCTTTTTATGGTTCTTCTATTTCAGTCTAAGTTTAATAAAAATAGGAGGAATATGTGCAGAAACATGCTTAGGAGTTTATTGGCTAAGTATTTACAGATGTCATAGAAAAATCAGATCAATGTATGATTCACCAGGACTTTGAATTTAGCACACCTCTGTGTTGATAGGATGCTTGCTGAGAAATGTTTCCCTACGATGAACATCAAATATGTTCTGTTTTAATTGACCATTATAAATTTTGGGTTTGAATTTCTCCTGGCTTGCATTTCAGTGAGTTTCCTTTCTAGAAATCTTGGAATGTAACCTCTAAGGTTGGTATTTATTATTAAGGGTAGTCTTTAAAATTAACAGAATTAGATATGTATTGTTAAAGCCACTTTCATCTACGGCAGAAGGATAGGATAGAAATACTCCAATAAAAGAAGTTGGAATTTCAAATGGTATAGAAATGATTCCCACTAATTTTTGCTAAGCCAATAATACGGAACCCAAGTACGATCACTTGCTGAGAATGGATGATATTTCAAAATTGCTATTAAAATAAATTTGAGTAAGATACAGGGTGTGTGACCATGTGTTTTCCCTCCTACTGCTGGAGGCCTGAATGATTAAATTTACTGCATCATTAAGGCAAAATGCTTCTCTTTTTGGAACAGAGGCAAAGTAATTAGTACATTTTAATGTAGATGGCAAAATACCAGTGACAACTTGCAAATTAACCTATGTCTAAAGCATGCACAAATAAGCAGGCATCTGTGTAAATAGAAATGCATTTTCACATATTTTGAGAGATTGTAATTTATAGAGGACAGTAAATACAGATAATTTCTATTGTCAGAGAACTTAGATATTAACAATTTCATGTTTTACTTTAGAGTTGTAAGGGATGTTTAAAATGTATAGCTACATCTCCTGGGGTGAAAATGAACTAACATGAATATGCTAGTGGAAGTAATGAATTACTAAAGTTTGCAATGAATGTTATCTTAGGCTCAAAATTACCTGAAATAGGAAGAAAGGTTGGTGATGCAGTCAGCCAGATGTTTAGACTGGATAGGCATTTTTATTGACCTGTCAGGTCCTTCCCAAGGACCCAGGACAGATAGGTGTTGTTTAATGACATGAAAGGTATTGTTACAGGATATCAGCTGTTCCAACTAAAGCTGCTTTTTGCAATTGACTGATGATAATTTTGTCAATGCCAATGGTGCTCCAGATATTTTGGAATTGTACCCAGGGCACCTATTACTATTGGTACTATCTTTGCTTTCTTTGCCACTTCTGTTTGCAAATTTTGTGATTTTCTCCAGTTCTTTCTCATCTATTTTGCTATGTTCAGGTATCGTAATGTCTATCATCCAGACTTTTATCTCTTTCTTAATGTTGTTAAGCCTGGGTTCTTATATGACAGGTGCCTATTTGAATTCTAAAGTCCCGGCATACTTTAGCTCCTTGATTTTCTATTATTTTCTATAGTTTTTTGGTCCCAACCAGTTCTTGCTTGCAGGCAAGTGGTATTTCTTGCAAATATTCCAATGCACCATTGTTGCTACGTTGCTATGCTGTTGTCTGTAGTCAATCCGTGCAATCTTCCTGCAGCAGCTAAATAATCCACCGTTTCTTCAGTTCTTTACATAGAGGCTGCTATCTGTTGCTGTCTTCTCGATTATTATTATATATTTATGTCTAGCTTGACTCTACTGAGTTATAGTTCAGCAATATGTGAAGGTCTTCAGAATCACCACTAGAATATTAATTTGAAAATCTAATGCAAAGTCCATTTTCCTTTTTAAATTTTGCTCCAATTTGTGGGATTAACATGGACATATTCTACTAAAAGCAAAATTCACAATTTTCAGTAAGTGTCTAATTTCTTCTACAGACCAAATAAATAATAAATATAAAACAGTGTATAGGTACTCCTCAACTTACGACCACAATAGAGGCCAAAATTTATGTTGCTAAGCAAGGCATTTGTTAAGTGAGCTTTGCCTCAATTTATGCCCTTTCTTGCCAAAGTTGTTTAAGTGAATCACTGCAGTTATTACATTACTAACCTGGTTGTTAAATGAAGCTGGCTTCCCCATTGACTTTGCTTGTCAGAAGGTCGCAAAGAGTGATCACATGACCCTGCCACCATCATAAATACGAGTCAGTTGCCAAGCAGCTGGATTTTGATTACCTGACCATGGAGATGCAATGGTCTTAAGTGTGAAAAATGGATCATAAGTCACTTTTTCCAGTGCTGTTGTAACTTGGTCGCTAAATGAACTGTTGTAAGTTGAAGACTACCTATAATGGGGGGGGAAAAAACTGGCAGCGATCCGAAACAAAAATCAGAATGGTGTAAGCGGGAAAGCAGCAACGTTGAAGTGAGGTTTTAAAAAACAACAACAAACCAAAGTATTACTCAAAATTATGGGTACATTTGGACTAGTCTAGCAGTTTACTGATTCTCCCACATGCCAGGATTGTGGCAGAGGCCCTTGGATCTTGCTGCCTATGTAGTTCTCATGGTGACCCCTTTGGGGGCATTCTGAGATCAGGGTTTTCTGACCTCAGAAAAAGCCAGCTGTGCAAGATGGCAGAGGGGAGCTGGCTTTCAGTTTTCCTTCTCGTGGAGGTCAGCAGTCTGTTTCTAAGGAATCTTTATTCCCCTTGAGGTAGCATTCCAGGGGTCATAGAACTGCAACTTCTATTTCATTTTGACTAATATGGACATTTCTACAACAGGTAAAAACTCTTGTCCAAACTAAGCATATTAAGGCATTCAGATAAACAGATTCTATGCCACGCATGACTTTCCTAAGTGTTGCAAATTTAATTCAATTACGTTGCAGAGAGAAATAAACACATTCTGCTAACGTTTTTGACATGACATGGTACTGCTTATCCTATTACTTATGTAGTTAAAATTAGCACATTTGGGTTTTTTTAAAGAACCGCAATAATGAATGTTCAACATTTATTTGTGGTTCTGTGTTGGCAAATGAGAGCTTTAGGTTATGGCAGCTGAGCTGCTTCCATCTTAATGCTCTTTAGCTCCATGTTTTTTCTCCTTTTCTCCAAGTTCAAAGTTACATATTTCTGTAGCATGTGATATATATGTTCTTAAGGGTTTGGTGCTACTACTGCTGATAAGGAAGGACAAACTATACATACAGCCTTGAAATATAACCTTTTATTGTATTAATAATATTACTATATTAAATTATATTTCGAGTTCTATGGAGATCAGTGGCTTTTAATCCTAGACTCATTTCTTTCTTTAAGCTGCCTGCAGGAACTGATCTGCAGTGCCAGTGTCCTATAAAATGATATTATTTTTCTTTGAATGTAACTGTATTGCTAACAAGTAAATAATATTTTGTATTTTGAAAAACAAAAATGCATTGTTCCTAAGGACAAAAATAGTCTAATTATAGTACATTTTCATTTTGGAAAAATTACATTGTTATTAACCTACATGTATGCAAATTTTATGCATCATACAAATTAAGGAATAAAAATCATTCTGCATGATATCATAACATTGGCATTTCAAAGTAGCTTTAAACCTTTAGAAATTAAGGGCTGCAATCATATATGTATTTATATGAGGCAGAGTGCCACGGAATTCGGTAGGGTACTCCGAAATGAGTACGTAATTGTATAGGGGGGAGCTTTTTAAATACTAGTTTTAAGCCCAGATTTGTTAAAATGACCTGTATTATAAAATTTAACAAAAAAACAGAAAGAAATCTGACAATTTTAACAGCAAAAGAAAATATCAATAAGTTAAAAAGGTGACCTAGTCAGTTAAGCAAAAGCACTATGTTTGAAAATAGTAGGAAATGAATAAAAAATAAAACAATGTAAATTTCTAATTACCCTCACTTTTACTTCAGACCTTGGGTTTTTTTGT